TAGAAGTAAACTTCTTCTTCCTCTCAAATCTCATTCTCTTAAGGGAAATTTGGCACCTTATGGCAAAATATCTGGATCAAGGAGCGAAGAGGGGAAACTTTAAAATTCAACGCTCTTAATTATGTATCTCCTTTTACATTCCAAAGCCCCTCATATTATAATTTATAAAATTATTTTCTTTTCAATTCTAATTGTTTGATGTGATTGTTGTATGAGTTTTGGCCAGGATCCAGTTCCAACCCCCTAACGTGTGTGTTCATGTTCAGAGGATATCCATGCTAGAATTATGTCAATGTGTAACTTCATGTCGATGGATAGGATTAGAGATCTCGTAATAATAAGAATTATCATATTCATATTAAGAAGTTATGCTAAAGACAGGATTTTAATCTCTGTATATATAGTATGTCTATTATTAGAGAAAAACTAAGAAGAAGGGATGTAGGAGATTAAGATTTTGGAGAGAATATAAAGGTGACTATGTATGTGAGATCGAAAGTCGAGAGTTGAATGATTCCTCTTGTAAGGTTCTCCCTTAACATAATGGATTTTTCAATTTGTGCCCTGAGGTTGTAGATCAAAATTAATCGACCGGTTTTTGTTCTTCTTCGGGTCAATCAGTTACATATATATAAGTGTCACTAGTGTTATACCCGTGTCATGCTGCGGAATTATTTAAAAAATTAGTCTACTTCTATATTTTCAAAGTTGGATAGACTTTACTTTATTTACTCTAAATGCTCAAGCAATATGTGCAAAATTCAAGATGCCAAAAAAAAGATAAATAATTGAAACATAGTTGGACATATCTATAAAACCCCACAGAGTTATAACTCCAATTGTCCCTGTAACTATGAAAAATGTTACAAAATTTTCTAACCAAACAAATCTTTATGTATTCTAAGTTGTGAAAATATTCCATAAATATAAAAAATTAACCAAATGCTCAATTTGTATTTGAATCATTTGACTATATTACAACATAGTCAATCATTAGTCATATGGAGGAATAATATATAATTCATGTTAAGTTTTTCATTCTAGCAATGATGATACGATAAATAACTCAATACAATAATAAACTAAGAAGTTTTAAAAAAAACGATATGAGATATTTACCTTCTTGTTTAACCTGTCCAATATCTACATGAGCAATCATTTACCTAGAGAAAATGATCAATTGAAAGGAGATCAGAATAATAAATTTATATACAAAGACTAAATTTTCTCAAATTTTGGAAGAGCATTTAATCAAGAAAAATTCCTTAAGGACCCAAAATATAGGACCAATAGAGAGGACAAGTGAGGTGTCTCCATCCTATTGGATAATGAGTTGGTCATCATTAATGATGGCCAACTCATTAACCAATAGGAGGGCGATACCTCACTTGTCCCCCTTATTGGTCCCATATTTTGGGTCCCTGTAGCAAAGCTCTTTAATCAATAATCTAATCTCTTGCAATTGAAATTTAGATTTTGATGACATTAAATTTTGGGCTTTTCCGTTAATAGAAAGTAGAGGGGACAGAGATATAAATGGTCATTATTCAAATCTTAGTTCATGAAAACAGTTACTTTCTAAGAGTAACAATAGAATTTGAAAAGGATTTTGATTCTCAGGTAACAATAGAATCTTGATAATAATATAGTATTTTAGTATAGTGTATGCTATAACATTAGATATATATATAGTAGAGAATATTAAAAGTCATTTCTCTAAAATCATGCTACATGCCTTCTAAGGACTTTGTTTTAGTATATAGATAGATAGATATAGATATAAATAGATGCAGCATTGAAGTCTATATATTTGAATTTTTTTAAAAACTTTTAACTAAATTGCTAATTGTCATTCTTCTCCTTAAAGTGTATCCGGTCAAGATTGATGCATAAATACAATACGCTATGGAATAATACGTTTAAAAAGCAAGAATGTGTGTATATTAGCATTTGAGACATAATAATAATAGTTGTAATTGTTATTTGAATGTGAATGGGTTCATGTCGAGGCAAAGAGCTTCTCTGATCATATCACAACTAAATGGATAATTTATGTTTTACTGTTCATTTTGGGAAAAGATATTTTCATTAACTATGAAATTATGAAAGATAAAAGAATGTACTACTAACAAACGGGCTGGAAGTTAAGGAGGCAGATCCTTCGTGATACAATAACATAATTACATGTAAAAGTCCTTAGCATTAATTGGATTTTTATGAAAAAAATGGAAAGCCAATGGCCAAAAGCTCTAGGAAGTTGCTAAGTGGCAATTAAGAGTTTTACTTTAGTATATAGTATAGATTTGCATTACAATTTATTACTGTAGTGGGCTCTAGTGGTGTTGCATGATGAGGGAGTGACAAGAAAGTCGTTTATTATGGGGTTACACAACAGAGGTCGGCAATCACGGAGCAAATTGCTTGATTCAGAGGAAGCGGAGTGGTGGAAGAGAAATAATTAGTTGGACAAGCTTGTGTGCTCACTTTTCTTAGGGTCGTATTCAAGTAGAAACTCCACTTCTGCTCATTTCCATCTTTATATGATTATTTTCCTTTTTTAAAAAAAAAATTGTTTTGATTTTTAACCTGGACTTTTATAACTTATTAATAATGTGATCTTTTATTGTAGAATTATGTTATGCGACATATATTGGATGAAGAACCTAGCAACACTTGATCGCAGTTAAGAGTACATCTTTTTTAATCCAAAAATCATAGGACCAACGAAGATCAATAACTATTATAGGACCAACTATGGTAGATGTTATTTCTGAGGATTCTAATCAAGATCAATGACTATTATAAACATACATCACATGTTTCATAGTTAGTCCCATGATTTTGGGTCAAAAAATTCATTTTGGGTCAAAAATCATAGGACCAACTATGGGACATGCGATGTGTGTTTATGGTAGTCATTGATCTTGGTTAGAATCTCAAATAAAATGGCATGTGTCAGCTTGTCCCATGGTTGGTCCCATGATTTTTTAGTCCAAAGGGAAGTAGTAAACCGATTAAATCAATCTCGGTTGAATTTAAGGATCTTTCTATAGAAAATACCTTTAAAAATAGAGTGGTAATACCAAAACCACCATTGAAATTCAAGAAATCGCTATTAAAAAGATTTCTATTTGCAATCAACCACAATGACCTAGCCTCCATGAATTTTTTATTGAAATCCTTAAAATGCCCTTAAAATACACGTGTTAGGCATGTGACGTATTTTCATAACTAGATGTAAACCAAATTTTGGCACTAGTGTTTTTAAAGATATTTAGGCATTTCGGTCGATATTTCACTATAAAATATGGTAGGGTGGATGGTTGCTATCGAGCCCCTTTAAAGGTAATTTTTATATTAGTTGAATTTTAAATATGGTTTTTGTACGGTCACTTACTCTACTAAATTTGTTAGTTTTACTTAAACTGGAAAAAAAATCCTACTGGATCTTTTTTCTTTAAGATCTATAATATTAGAGAAAGTTATAATTGTCAACCCTTACCATAACATTAGGGTTTTGGTGCAGTGGCATCGTCATTTGATATGATATTAGAGTTTTTGATTCCATTCTCATATATCACATATTTAAGGGAATTTAAATAAAATGACATGTGTCAGCTTGTCCCATGGTTGGTCCAATGATTTTTTAGTCCAAAGAGAAGTAGTAATCCGATTAAATCAATCTCAGTTGAATTTAAGGATTTTTGTTATAGAAAATACCTTTAAAAATAGAGTGGTAATACGAAAACCGCCATTAAATTTCAAGAAATCGCTATTAAAAAGATTTCTATTTGCAATCAACCACAATGACCTAGCCTCCATGAATTTTTTATTGAAATCCTTAAAATGCCCTTAAAATACATGTGTTAGGCATGTGACGTATCTTCTTAACTAGATGTAAACCAAATTTTGGCGCTAATGTTTTTAAAGATATTTAGGAATTTCGGTCGATATTTCACTATAAAATATGGTAGGGTGGATGGTTGCTATCGAGCCCCTTTAAAGGTAATTTTTATATTAGTTGAATTTTAAATATGGTTTTTGTACGGTCACTTACTCTACTAAATTTGTTAGTTTTACTTAAACTGGAAAAAAAATCCTACTGGATCTTTTTTCTTTAAGATCTATAATATTAGAGAAAGTTATAATTGTCAACCCTTACCATAACATTAGGGTTTTGGTGCAGTGGCATCGTCATTTGATATGATATTAGAGTTTTTGATTCCATTCTCATATATCACATATTTAAGGGAATTTAAATAAAATGACATGTGTCAGCTTGTCCCATGGTTGGTCCAATGATTTTTTAGTCCAAAGAGAAGTAGTAATCCGATTAAATCAATCTCAGTTGAATTTAAGGATTTTTGTTATAGAAAATACCTTTAAAAATAGAGTGGTAATACGAAAACCGCCATTAAATTTCAAGAAATCGCTATTAAAAAGATTTCTATTTGCAATCAACCACAATGACCTAGCCTCCATGAATTTTTTATTGAAATCCTTAAAATGCCCTTAAAATACATGTGTTAGGCATGTGACGTATCTTCTTAACTAGATGTAAACCAAATTTTGGCGCTAATGTTTTTAAAGATATTTAGGAATTTCGGTCGATATTTCACTATAAAATATGGTAGGGTGGATGGTTGCTATCGAGCCCCTTTAAAGGTAATTTTTATATTAGTTGAATTTTAAATATGGTTTTTGTACGGTCACCTTACTCTACTAAATTTGTTAGTTTTACTTAAACTAAAAAAAAATCCTATTGGATCTTTTTTCTTTAAGATCTATACTATTAGAGAAAGTTATAATTGTCAACCCTTACCATGATATGATATTAGAGTTTTTGATTCCATTCTCATATATCACATATTTAAGGGAATTTAAATAAAAAGGACAATGCATTATTCTAGATTTTGGCCGATAAAAAGGACGTTCAAGCTATGAAGGTATTTTTAGAATATAAAATTATATCTATCGACCATCACCATAAATTTAGAGTTTTGCTGTGATAGCAAAGTCTTTGGGTATGATATTAAAACACTTCAAATTCGAATATTACTACAAAATTCTAAATCAGGTTTTTTAGAAAAAAAAAAGGAAAAAAGAAAAAGAAAACCACCATTCTAGACTTTTGGTGCAGTAACAGTTAGTGTTGATCGATGGGACCCATTTTGAGAAAACTACGAAAGGCCACTTAGGGCAAGTTTGATATTACTTTTTTAGTGTGCTTCTACTTATTTTTAATAAGCAGTCAATAATGATGTTTGGTGAAAATTTTTCTTGGCATGTTTATTGAAATTGCTTTTGCTTTTAAGGGGTTGTTTTTAGAAGAAAATTGAGAATGTTTTTAAAAGCAGCTTCTGGTTTTTTTAGTTTATATACCTTATATATATTTTATCTTTCAATAATGATTATTAAGCGCAGTTCTGCCAAACATTTTTACTGATTTTAAAGCAATTTTTGATATTTGACTACCAAACAGTTATGTTCAACAGCTTCTATAAGTTGCTTCTATAATCTGCTTTTATAAGCAATAACTATACGCTCCAACAATACCAAACTAGCCCTTATTCCTCAAAATTTGTGGGTCCACAAAAATGGCATAACGTTTGAAGTTTGGGCAAATTACACTATACTCTCGAGCACTTTCAGTGTTTTGCAGTAAACCGCCAATAATTTTCCATAATTTTGCAGAATAACTCCCATAAATTAGAAAAAAAACATAAAAGGCATTTTGAATGATATTGGGGATTTATTATAATCTACCCAAAAGATATTGAGGGTTCTCTACTAAAGTTATTGGGGCTTTACTGCGATTTTGAAAGTTACTGAGGATTTAGTGTAATTTACCGTTGAAGTTTTTTCAACTTTTGCCATATGGTATAACTTCCAAAAAATTTTAACATGCCCCTTAACTTTCAATATTGTTTATCATGTCGTTTGGTGGTGTTTGGGGTTTTATTTTTTTCTCCTTTTTTTTGTGGGCTTTTTTTTTGGTGGTGGTGGTGGGTGGGTGCAGAGGCGTAGCTACGTTGAACTTGCCCTGGGCAGCTGCCCAGGGCAAGAAAATGATTTTTTTTTAATATGTTTAATATTTTAATTTTTTTGGCCACGTATCAGCGCCCCACCCCTTTTATTTCTCGGTTTTCTCCCGACTCC